AGTGCGCCCGCCACATGTCGTTGTATATGTGTAGTAGGAGTGTAAGTGTTTCTGAGGGTAAGTGTCTAATGATCTGGTTGTGGATGTCATCCGGTCCCGGGGCTGTATTGCCCAGGTCCGAGATGCACGACGTTAGTTCCTCCAATGTGAAGTCTGCGATGTAGGTTTCAGTGTTGTTTGAGTGAAAGTTTAGGTGTTGTTGTTCTCCGTTAGTTTTGATGTTTTGGAAGGTGGTGTTGTAGTGTGCTTGGGATGAGTTTTTGGCGAGAGATGTAGTTATTGTGTTTGCGATGTCTACCTGAGTTTCAGCTGTGGTTCCATCCGGCCTCTGGACGTGCCGGATGGTGTCTGTGCATCTAACCAAAACATTTTTTTTGCGATTTTAAAAACTTGGTTGAGTGGTGTCTGGCTGCTGATTTTGGAGATGTATTTTCAGAATGATTGTCTTTTGCTCTCCCTGGGCATCTACGTGCCTCAGCTTGAGCTTTTAAGTAATTAATTTTGTTTTCTGTGGTAATGTAGTCGACGGCTCTTCGATATGCTGGCTTCTCTTTCTTTACTGCATCATCACATTCCCCAGAGAACCAGATCTTGTAGAGGTGGGCAAAATCCGGATAATCCAAAAGAATAACCGAATAATTCTCAATGAAACACTATCCGATTTCAGACTCTCAACTCTCTTTCCTGACCCGTTTGCGGAAGTGGGTGCACCCATTTGTTGAAGTGATGATAACCCGTTTGTCAAAGCGGTTCTAACCCATTTGCCGAAGCGGTTCATATCATATTATTAGCCGAAGAGGTGCACTCAAATATTACCCGGATTTTGCTAAAGCGACTCATTGCCCAGCTCTAAGATCTTGTTCTTCCAGGGTTTTTGAGATGTTTTTGGTATGTCTTTGTGGCATATTTCTAGAAGCGCTTCGTGGAATTTTTTGTAGTGGAGGCTATTGTTTTTAAGAAGAATTGGGAAATGGTCCGTACGGTCATCCAACAGACCACTCAAGATTGGGACTAAGTCAGGGGTATAATATAAAGGGTGAGGTCAATGGATGAAGTGCCAAAAATGGATCTGTTTCTGTAAGTTGGGGACCTATCATTTAAGAGGCAGACGTTATTTTGGAATAGAAAAATCTTCTATTATTTTTCCTTTCTGGTCTGTGGGTTTGTCTCCCCATAGAAGGCTGTGGGCATTAAAGTCACTATGCAAAATAATGGGCTCTGGGAGCTGGAGCTTTAAATCATTTGGTTGAGTTTTTTTGAGGGGGGTAATTTGGTGGGATGAAAACAGAGCAGATTGTGATTGGTCTGTGCAGGGTGGCCCGTATGGCAATAGCCTAGAGGGTCGTCCTAAGATGTACTGGTCTGTGGAGTGTGTTGTTGTCGGTGTAGATGGTGGTTTCACCGAAAGCAATCTGGTTCTCCGTGTGAATGTGATGATACACAGCAAATCATCTTAAGTCTATGGTTGAAGCCGGGGCGAATTTTGTTTTCTATATACAGGCCACATGTGGGCACAGAGTGGCCTGTAAGTGTTGCAATTCTGCAATGGAAGGTCGGAGTTCGCCGGCATTCCATTGCAGGACTGCCATTATGGCTATTTATTTCTGAAGCACAAAGGGCCCGGCTTCGAAACACTTTGATTCCTCCTTGCGGGGGAGGCAGAGGCTTTTCTAGGGTGTAGTCCTGGATTGGACGGTGACCTAGTGGGGGATTTGGAGGAGTGACAGACTCCGTCCTTCCCGGGGAGGAGTATCAGAGCTGTCATCCTCCATTGGCAGTGGGGGGATGTAAAAGGGGTAGGGGTAGGTGGAGCAGACGGAGGGAGCTGGGAAAAGGGGGGAGGGAGCTGGGGAAAGGGGGAAGGGGGCACCTCACACTCCATCAGAGGGATGGGGTGTGAGGTGGAAGAAGAAGAAGAAGAAGAAAAAGAAGAAGAAGAAGAAGAAGAAGAAGAAGAAGAAGAAGAAGAAGAAGAAGAAGAGGAAGAGGAAGAGGAAGAAGAGGAAGAGGAAGAAGAAGAAGAAGAAGAAGAAGAGGGGGGAGAGGGAGAAGAAGAGGGGGGAGAGGAAGAAGAGGGGGGAGAGGAAGAAGAGGGGGCAGAGGAAGAGTCCACCCTGTCCTCCTCAAAAACCCTGAAGTGGTTAGAAAGTGGCACCTCAGAGGTGGGTGTCACAGGGATAGAAGGGAGCTTTTTATTAGTCTTCTGGTACAGAGACATGCCTGTTGACCGCAGGCTTTGGGAGGTCGGCAGTAGAGGTACTGATCGAAGTACTGATCGACCTCGTGGCCACCCGGACTGCCTTTGAGTATGACCAGCCAATGACTGGGGTCATAATTGGCGGGCAGACAGTCTTTCGGGCCTTCCGGAATGAGCAGCCTTCTCGCGCCTTGTACTCTTGGATGGCGCGTTCTTGGGGCAATGGCGGGCAATCCTTGCTGAACGTTGTGTGCTGGCCGTGGCAATTGAGGCAGCAAAGAATAGCCTTACGTTCCTTTTCAAGATGCCTGGTCTTGCCACATCGAGGACACACAGCTGCGTGCCGGCCTCGACTGACTATGGTTCAACTTCTGACACTTGAAACAGCACAGAGGGTTCAGCACATAGGGTCATGCGTCAAGTGTCAAATATGATGCCAGAATGGTGGCTGGAGGGTGACACAATTCAAATGTGAGTACGATCGTGCTTGTGTCAATAGTGGTCTCCCCCCACCGGAGAGTAATCTGGCGGGCTTCGACCACTCCCTCACAGTGCTCCACAATTTCTTCCATGGAGCAGCCTTTCAGCTAATGGCTGCAGACGACGCCCTTGGACCGGTTAAACTTCTGGTAACGCTCGGACTTACATGGAATACCGCCGAAGGTCGTGGTAACGAGGAGTTTGGTCACCTCGGCCTCAGTTGCGCACTTGACAAGGAGTGCACCACAGGAAAGTTTCTGTACACATGTGGGGATGTATCCCAGAACTTTCCGCAGTGCATCTCCTGTCTTAAAGAGGTTCAGATTGGGTATCTTTCTCTGTGCGTCTTTTGTACCGGAGATGGCCACGTATGGCTGCCTCGGAAGCTCCTTGGGAGAAGGGAAGTAAGAGGTAAGGAAGAAGAGGTAGAATAAGAAAGAGAGAAGGAAGGAGAAGAGGAAAATACACCAATGAAGATGTTGCACAGGGATCCAAGAGGGTTGGGGTCAATATGCGACATTTCGTCGTTAGAAGGTTTTTCACCTCCTGCAGACGGAACAATGGGTCTATATATATATCATATCCTTCAATCCACAGGGGGCAAGATCATCCTTTGAAGAATGCTTTGAAATAAACCTTTCCAACTTTTTCTATCTAATCCACATTCTCCAAACATTAGTCAAATAGAAGTAACTATATTTTTTATTTGTTTTCGAAGCACAAGAATGTTAGAACTAATTATTTCAATTTTGGCAAAAGGTACACTTTATCTCAGGAAGCATAATTGATAGCCCTTGTCCCGATGGTTACCAAGGTATTAGAAAAATAAACCCATTAAAAAAATAACTTACCAAGGAGACATTTCCTTCCTTTTCTTGTAACTGCAGGTTGACCTGAGGGATTCTTGGGACTGACTGCTCTATGATTTTGATGGTTATGTAAAGCAGAGTACTGGCGGTCACTGTCTAAACCTTGGGTCGTCACGACTCGAGCTGACTCAACATGAGAAGCTGGTACTCCTCCAGTTCTAGGGATGTCTGATGAAAGGCTTTGATTTCTCCTTGTATGGGGGAACAAATGAGCACCTGGGGTGACCAAAGTCTTTTTCATTGATGGCTGCTCTACTAGAGACTGATAGTTTAAAGACTTCGATGAAGTGGGCATTTGCAATAGCCTTGTTGAATTTTTATCTGCGGTATGTTGTACTGCAGATTGAAGAACTGACAATTTGGAAGACATTGGTGTGCCTACCAGTTTAGATAGAACTAGTTGCAGCTCAGATTCAACTTCTTTTTCTGGTTTTGGGTACACAAACTTTTTTCGTTTACTCGTCAACAAACCCAGTGTAGGCAAAGACAGGGGAGGTCGTGAAGACAAGTGGGTAGCTACACAGACACTGTGGCCATCCAAGTCAGAACATGTGTTCTTTTTGTCACATATTTGTTGATTCTCTGCCGAAGCCGCAGCCAGAGATAGTTCTTCATCATCCTCTTCAAAATCCCATTCTACATTTTCAAACCCATTTATTGTACCATCTACATGTGTCTTGTTATTCTCCAAGACCATAATAGCAGAACGTTTATTTCCAACGCCACTCTTCATCATTTTAGCATCATCTTCTTTGAAACTCTGAGAATATCTTCACAAATTATCCTCCTTAAAACTTTCTAAACTTTCCAAACTTTTCTTCCTCTAATTAATGTCAGCCCTTTGCACTTTCTCTGTATGATCACACACTTGGTCTCATACTGTCTGGTGCCTGTCAGCTCTTTTTTTCAACCAGAGAACTCATCAGAATTTACTAGACAGACGAATGAATCTTCTTCCACAACTGCCACCACAGGTCAAAAATTGTGTGGAGAAAATTTCGGTTTTCTATCCTCATTTAATTTCTCTGTGTATTCAGGATCAGCCTAGCTGTACACTGTGCTCTCCTTTTCAACAACCACATTGGAGGTAGTGAGCTGGCATCATTCCGGGATGCTTGCCCTGGAGGTAACTGGCGGCTGAAGGGCTGAGGAAGAAAAGCAGTACATTTGTATAGTAAGAGTTTTACAACATTAGCAACTCACAACCTCAGTGCTTTCTTGTCGTTTCTCCATTTTTTGAAACGGTGAAAATGTGACTTCTTCTTAAGCCCACTCTTTGTTATGAACTGTTTTCACTGTTATTAAAAATTATGGAGATATGACAAGAAAGCACTGAGGTCGTGAACTGCATAAAGTCATATGAGCCTACCAGACACAAGTTGGTTGTTTTCACATTAGCTCATTCATAGCACAGCTTAGTTTTACTTTGTGAGTCGGCATGGTTCATGCATTTTGAAGTACATTCTACAAATTCCCTTAGTAAAATAAAGTAATTTATTTTTAAAATAACAACTATTGAGTTTGGCCTGAAGACAAAAGTTTGCCCAAAATTTACAAAATTGAGAATCCAGTTCACTGATGGAGAACAAATTCTTTAAAGAAAAACAGACTCAATGTAATGACATGCACCATAAAATGTCGGGAACAGATAGCCTAAGAGGAAATTGTTGGTGTTAGTCATAGAGACGAGGGCGCAGCCACGCGGCTTTCCAGGCAACCACCCCCGATCGTAAATTCAAGGATGACATCAGAATCATAGATCTCTGCATTCAGAGAAACATTTCTCTTGTGATTCGTTGAATAAGTACGTTATAAGTCCTTCAAGTGCAGCTGATTAGGCTTACTTGACGAATCTTTAATCCTGTAGAGGCCTGTATAGTGTTTTACAGCATTCACGCTTGTTGCGCATCATAGGCCTAGGTCTGACTAAACATTACATGCAGTCACCCAAACACCAGTCAGAAACCTTCTCTCCAAGATGCATTTCCAGTGACCAATCAAAAAACATTTCAGTCCCCGAATCCCCCAACTTTTCACCGACCAGTCCTAGACCTGTGTCTGTGGAATGTTGGGTGTGAAACGTTGTCCATCACTCTCTTTGTTCGGCATGAGGGGCACTCTCACCAAATAATAATATCCGGTTTTTCTAGGCAAGCAGTGCAGGTTATAGTGAAAATTTCCCTTTGTCAAGCTCTACCTGTCAGCGTGTTTCGTGGATCGGAGCGTGTGTCTAGAGGGTGTAACCGTGCATTTGTACGTCTAAATTATACAGTAAAAAAAACTTTTGTTTGGCGTGCGTTTAGGCGGAGACTACTGTAACCAGACCCCTGGGGGGAGACTTTCTTAGGTTTCAGGATGCTACAGGCTCTAAATGCCTTGCTAAAGGCAAGGATACTAAACCATGTAACCTTTTTTGTTTGTTCAGCTGAGGAGATTACCAAGTTGGTGACCATCCTAGGGTTGTCCATTTAGGCAGGTCCCAAATAGGGCCTACAGGGTGATTTAAAAAATAACTAAACAACATTTTTTCTGATTAACTCGCACAAAATTTGTACAGTACTAAAATGTAATTTAGAACATATATAACTCATCCAAAAGGAATTAGACATAAAATTCATAAAGAAAAAACTTATTTTCGAAAACAGAAATGGCTTTTATAAAAACCACCTATAAACGCAAAATGCACCAATTTAAAAGATCTTGTAAGGAGAGTCATGGAATGATTGGGGTTTTTTCCCCCCCTTCCTTTTCTTTTTAAAATCTAATCTTTCCATCCCCGTAACATTTAAACAAAATTTCTTCTCTTACAGAGTTTTTTTTAAATATTTGAAAAATTCTGGAATTCTGAGAACCAGTACTCTATATATATATGGTCATTCTTTGGACACATTTTAGCGCGTCGTTCGTAATGGCCAAACAAGGATCCACCCAACTATGAGTACTCAAAGCCACACACACTGTACACCTTACAGTATGGAGTTGTTTCTAGAAACAATAGGGGGGAGGGATAGGTTGCCCAAATAGACAGCATGTGGAGTTAACATAACCTGAAAGGTATGGGCTTGCCAAGGAAATGTCATAGAGGAAATGTCCATGCTTTTCAATACGACGGAGGAATCATGAATATATTACTATTTTCTGATCCATGTCAGCCTCACGAACAGGAAAATCGCACAGTCGTAGATGAAGATCTACCTTAAGAATGCGGACCATTGAGATGTGTAAAGTCCTACTGCAGACATTGTCTATGAGCAGACGTCTCATGGGGCTCATCTACTGAATGCTGCACCCTGGTGATGTTTAAAGGGGTGCAAAAATGTGTGTGTTTGCCTTGAAATGCTTATTTTGTCGGGGATTTTTCTATTTTGATTCTCTACAGATGGACCATCTTCACCCTTGACATCAAAGAAGCCATAAGGACACTGTAACATTATTTCTGCACCTTGTGCAAAACTTACCAAATGAGTTGCTGGAGATGAAATGTTCAATACAAAAAGATCTAAGCTCTCATGATCTCAACTTGAAAAAACTATCTCTGCAAACTTCTGTGGCCTGTCAGACTACTTTTAGTGGTAGGCCTAATGCAAACTAGTGCGTCATGCTACAAAATGGGGACATAGCTGAAAATGGGTAGTTATTTTACGCGCTATGTAGAGAAAAACTTTTCTGTGGATTTATCTAAAATGAGTATCAGACAAAATTCATTATGACTTAAAAATGTTGTGTACAAATTTGAAACACAAAACTTCAGTGTGGAGTAAAATATTGACAAAAAAAGTTGTTCAGTTGTTGTTTTTTGGATCACCCCGACTTACATCTTCTCTTAGTTGTTGTCATTTGCCCAGATCAAGATTCACATCTGCTCCTCCTGACATTACTGGCCGCGCCTTGTCGGGAATTGTCGGGAGATATTTTGCTTTTATTATCCATATTTGTCTTTTCATTTTTGTTTATCTTGAGGGCTACCCACCCGCCTCCGAGTCCAAAAATGGCCACAACTTGGAAGTCCATAGCTGGTGCCAGGACTACCTTCACAGGTATACTCGCAATCAAACAGCAAGAAATCTAGCCTTCTGTCCAAGTTTGACCAAAAACCAGTTCTACGAGTCGGTAATAACCGATAGAGTGCAGTGGCCACTACACCTGTCCGTCTAGGCCGAATCCAGGGCCAAAGTGGCTTGCTGGTGACTGACCCCTCACATCAACCTACTACTATCCCCTTCTCCGGTCACATGGGTCGCACACCATGGTCAACAGGCTGCCCCAATCCATGTTGTGGGGATTCAGGATCTATCTTTTGCTGGACCGAACCTTCAGTCGACAGATCAGAAAGAAAGATAGATGAACAGAAGACACAGCTAGAAGACAAAAGATGCCACTCCTATTCACAGAGCTAGTGACATACAAGAGGTATCCCACCGACAGGGGAGCTGCACCCCTTGTTGATGGGAAAGCCAGCTACTTTTTATTAGTCCCCCAGTCAGCTCGAGGAAGGAAGGAAGAACAAAGAAGACAGAGGACAGAAGACAGACAATACATCAAAGTAAATGTCACCCATGCATACCTGAGTGTAGGAGTTGATGGGTGGCATTTCACCATTGAAGGGATTGAACCTCTCTTTCGGGTGGAGCAGTAGATTTATTCCCTTGCCTCCAACCCACTGGGGGCACAGATGGGAGTGTTTCGGCAAAATACAACACCCATTTTATATTTCAGTATTTTAAAAATGTGTTTCTCCATTTTTCGATAATTCACAATAATCAAGTCTACACTCCATGTGGAAGCAACCAATATTTGTAAAGTAGGTACAAATGTCAGATTTATTGCAGTCCAAAACCATCCAACATTTGCATTTGATCTTAGAGGAAGACCTATGAAGTGTTAACCAGGTGCCAAAAACACATGTAAATCTTTGGAAGCTTTGGACGTTAATCCATAAAATGCAGGTAGCAAATCAGTTAAAATCGCACCAAAAAAAGTCCTCTCTGGTTCAGCACTATTCTCAATTTTAAAGGCAATGGGTGACCACAAACCCCAAGAAAACATTCTTAATCAACCCTTAAAGCCTTCTTCCACCAACAACTGAAGATGTTAAGACTATTGAGAAATACAATTACATGCCAAGGTCTTGAACACAGCAGATACTCTAAGTCGAGCATGCCCTCCAAGACTTATGTTATAAACAAAGGACAAAACACATAAAAAAAGGAGTCTCTGAGAATTAGTGCTGTGCGATTTTGAATAAACAAAAAATCATCGAAGCTTCGAAGCGTGAGCTCACTATTCATGACATTTGAATACCACCGTCGAATGTTTTTTTCTTATATATTATGATAAGCATAAACCCAGACCTAAGTGCCGCTACTCTACATTCGCTAGCTATACACAGCGCCATCGAATGGATTTTTCTTAACTGTGACAAGCCCAGATCTAACTTCCGCAATTTGAAGAGCCGTCGAATCGTATTTTCTTATAGGTGATAAGCCCAGATCTAACTTTCGCTATTCACAGCGCAGCGGAATGGTTTTTTGTTATATATAAGCTAAGCCCATATCTTGTTTGTTTTAGTAGAGGTTTTACGGCGCTCGCAACGGAATAAGGTCATATGAGCGCCAAAAGATTAGAGGTGTTACAAGAGAGTAACAAATATAAAAAAGAAGGAGGGAAGATAAAGAATATATGTTTGATATTAATGACAGGAAAGAAGAAGCAAATCACACTAGAGCACCCGCCAACCACCCACAAGCCCAGATCTAACTTCCACTATTTACAGCGCCGTCGAATGGTTTTTCTTATATAAGCTAAACCCAGATCTAACTTCCACAATTCGAAGCGACGTCGAATCGTATTTTCTTATATGTGACATGCCCAGATCTAACTTCCGGTATTCACAGCGCCGTTGGATGGTCTTTCAGACCTAGCCATTAGATTTCATTTTGTCAAGCAGTCTTGAGGTGTAACCTATTTTCCTTGTTACTAAAAACAGGGTTGGGTTGATTTAAATCAGGTCGATTTAAATCAGTTTATTTTTTAAATTTAAATCAACTTGATGTAAAAAAAAATAATCAGTGACTTAAATCACTTTTAAAAAAATGTATTTTTATTCAGTTTTTAACATTGTTTCAACATTCAGAATTCCTTTCCTTGGTTTCAAAAA